GGGGGAGGGGGAGGGGGAGAAGAAGATGACGACAACGACGACCACCACCACCACCAAAAAGAAGACATAGCGAGTACAATCTGTTACCTATACTGCCTTTGGTTAAAGGAAAGAGAATCTTGCTATATACACTAGGCTGGCCTTGAACTCTTACCCTCTTACTTCAGCCTCTGAGTGTAGGGGTTACAGGTTTGCTCTACCATGTCCAGTTCAGCTTGTCCATTTTTCTAACTGACAGAAATATATATATGCATTTGTGTATAAATATATAAAATATATACTACAATTGTATATAAATAAATTGGAGAAAATAATAAGAAACTGATAACATGACTTTGGGAAGTTAAAAACCTGAACAAATCAGGTGTGGTGGCACACGACTTTAATTCTAGTACTCAGGAGGCAGAGGCAGGTGAATTTCTGTGAGATGGAGGCCAGCCTGGTTTACACAGCAAGTTCCAGGCCAGCTGGGAGTACAGGGAGCCTCTGTTTCAAAAAAATTCAAAACCAACTAACCAAACAAAACTCAAAAAATCCCCCCAAACAAAAAATGAAGAATAGCATATTAATCTTTAACTTTTTATGAAATGTTAAATGTGACATATTTTAGTGAAGAAAGAAGAAACTTCTGGTTTAATGTATTGGATCAGACACAGATAACACAATAACACTATAGCTTTTATTTTATTTTTAAAGATTTATTTCTTGCTTGTTTTTTACTTTTTTTAGACAGGTCTCCCTGTAGCCCCAGGGGGCCTGGAACTCACTATGTAGACCAGGCTGGCCTCCATTTCACAGAGATCTGCCTGCCTCTGTGTCCTGAGTGCTGGGATCAAAGGCATGCACCACCAAGCCATGTAAGATTTACTTTTATTTATGTGTATTTTTGTGTGTCTGTCACATGTATGCAGATGCCCATAGAGGCCTGAAGATGTTGTCAGATGCACAGGAGCTGCCACATGCAGTTGTCAGCTGCCTGATGTGGGTGCTGGGAACTGAACTCAGCTCCTCTGCAAGAGCAGCAAGTGCTCTCGACTGCTGAGCCATCTCTCCAGCCAGCTCCGGCACTGCAGCTTTTAAAGCATGTACAGTTCAATACTCTCTGGGTACTATTTCTGTGGACACATGTCGGGGTCACAAATGCTTAAGTACTTGTTTATTTACTTCATAGCCTTACCAAGTTCACAGGGATAACAGTTCTCTCCAGATTTTGACCTGTAAATATTGCCAATTCTGTGGATTGTTTAGATTTCTAGGGTTGTCCAACTGGTGCATTCATTTAGAGGCCAGTTTAAAGTGCTTACATAAAATTCAACTTAAAAGGACATGCTTTTGATGGGGGAAAGAGGTATCAAATTGCAACAAAGTCTGTAACGAACTAGAAGACATTGTCTACCCTATTTTGGTTCTTGAGTAAATAATTAAAGGACAAAACTTCAGGAAATTCCAAGTTGCCATTCAGTATAAACAGATAAGAAAAGTGGTCATAAATAATATAGCACAAGTAGTAAGAGCTATTCTTTATTGAGCAAGTACTTTTTGCCAACCAACTTGGAAACGTTTATCTATTAAACTTATACTGTATAATAAATATGCAAGGAAAGTGACAGGGCTGGGACTTTGAACCCAGGGCTTTCAATATGGGGTAAAGGAAACCAGAAGGTTGATCACGTTCTATAATATTGGTCTCAGTTTCCATTACCAGTTTTAACACTGTGTTTCTGTTTCTATAATTACAAGATAAGCCTGCTGGGAATTATCCCCAGATTTCTTGGAAGGAACATTTACAAACATCAGTAAGGAGATACATAGAACATTAGGGAGCTTCAGAGGTGTTAAAATATTTGAGATAAAGCACATGAAATACATATAGTTTCAAGTCTTTCAAGGTTTCACATGGCAGCTTAGACCAACTTTGAATAAGCCTTTTCCTTTAATTCCCTCTTCCGTTTCCTCCTCTCCCCTCCTCCTCCCCTTCCTTCCCCCTCCTCCTGCTCTTCCTCCTTTTATTCCCCCTCCTCCTCCTCTTCTTCCTCCTCCTCCTCCCTCTTCTCTCTTTTCTTCTCCTCTTTCTCATTCTTCCCTTTTTTCAGGGTTATTTGAAATAGGATCTTCCTATGCAGCCAGGTTAGGCTTGAACTGGTGATTCTCCTGTCTCACCCTCTTGGGTGCTGGGATTGCAGGCACACACCATCATACCCTTTATTCTTTGTTATAGAAAAGATGTGGCATAATTTAAAATGGGCAATGTGTTTTTATTTGAACTTGCATGGAACATTGTGTAAGAATGAATGGAGCAAGTTGTAAATAACATACACAGTGCATTCCAATTAGGTTACCCACAGAAGCACAGTCAAAACACTAGTAAATATGGATGAAAAATTTAGATAGAATTCTGGAGGGATATAGAACAAGTTGTTAATATTGGTTACGTCTCTGGAAGAACTGACAGAGTAGAAAGTAATAAAAGGTACTGGCCTCAACCATGACAAATATTTTCCTGAGGCGATAGCCCTGTGTACATAATAGTAAAGACTTGTTAAAAATATGAAAGTATATATCATAAATTACTTTTTTCCTATGTTAGAGATTAAGTCCAGGGCTTGCACACAGTAGGTGACTGATCTATCACTGAGCTACATGTTCAACTCTAGAAATTAGATTTTTGTGTTGCCTTTTTTGAGACAGAGCTTCACTGTGTTGCCAAGACTGGCTTTGAACTCCCTGTGCAGTACAGGGTAGCCTTGAACTCATGATCCCTTTGTTTCAGCCTCCAAGGGGTTGAGATTACAGGCGTGTACCACTAATCTAGAAATTAGACTGTTTTTTGTTTTGTTTTGTTTTGTTTTGCTTTTGAGACAGGGTCTCACTATGTAGATAGTCTGGCCTCAAACTCACATAGATCCGTGTGCCTCCTGCCCCTGAATGTTGGGTTGAAAGGTGTCCACCACCACAAGCTGGCCTCAACCTGGTGATTTTAAAGACTATTTAAATTTTGTCAATAAAATGAAAATCTTAATTAAAAAAAAGAAAATCACCCGTACTTTACCACTAAGATATAATAAATTTGATGTTTTTTCCTTGCTCCTTTTAAGAGTTTTCTTCAGCAAGTATGAGACCATTAACTTTAAGAAGGCAAGTATACTCAACTGTTCTCCATAAACCAAGTTTTTTCTTAACCAGATTCTGTCCATGGAGGCCCCACTGTCTCAGGCCTTCCAGCAGGGACAGAGATCAAAAGTCACTGCTGTGTTATAATGCCTATTTGTTATTTCTTCATCAACAAAGTTTACTCAGCAAATCTTTTCAAATGTGGAAGGCAGGAGTGGGGGGTGGGGGTGGGGTGCGAGGGGAGAGAGGGAGGGAAGGGATGGAAACCACCCTGGGGTTGAAAGGCCATTGTGGGGAGGGAGGGAGAGAGGGAGGGATGAGACTGCCCTCTAGGGGTGGAAGATGGCCCTGCACACAGATCTAGGAAGCCTCAGCAAGTGCGGGCTCAGGAATTCCATACCCCTCTGTCTAACACAGGAATTTTAGTGGGTCCTCATCATCATCACTGCTTTTCTTATGCAGTTGTGGTCGGTTTTTCCATTCCCTTTCTTGCTTCATGGACTGGAGTAAAAATAGTAGCCAGTTTCATTGACAAAATGTCATTTTCGTCTTTGCCTTCTTCCTCAGTTCACAGTTCACCACAGTCACAAGACTGATGTGGCACCAGGGCTGGAAAATGCAACTCAGCCAGTGCCCTGAGAGGAGCCCAGCTTAGTGGTTTCCTGGGGGTGGAGAGAGGAGGAGTGTTGAAGAAAAAACCTTCCAAAAATATTTACCAGACAAAGGACTAGGCGTGTGACCAAGACATTCCAAGGAGACACCCTTAGACATAAGCCATTTTTCCAGGCCTGTCCCCCGGAAGGATAGGAATGGCTAAGTCCTCCCTCCTTCCAGAAAGACCAACTCAGGCTTCTTCTGAAAATAAACACAGCTGGAGCTAGAAGATACTTTCCCCAGCTGGTCAGAATTAGAAAATAGAGGTGCTGTCACCTGTAGGGGAGTTAGGTAGGTGCTGGAGCCAGGGTTTTTGAATGTTCTTTTTTTTTTTAAGTTTTAAGATTTATTTTACTTTATGTGCATGAGTGTTTTGCCTGCATATATA